CACTTCAGACTTGTGAATTTTGTCCCAATTCGTCGTTTCAATTCTGAGTTCTTGGCCCATTCATACATAAGTCTGATTCTCGACATCGTCCGATTGATCGATCGTCTAATTTGATGTCGATTCCCCTCCACTTTATGGTTATTCTCTGCAAAAGGTTAGTAAATCTAATACTAGTGGAATATTATTATTCTAACTCAAATATGCATTGCAAACATAACTAGTTCTCCTCTATTTTGATAATATTGATGGCCGAAACTGATCGCTAACGACCGTCAACAGCCGGTCAGACCGGGGCTCACCCGACGGTCAGACCGGCCACTACCCGTCAGTCAGACCGGCATTTGTGCCTCGGTCAGACCGGCCCTGGTCAGAAAGTCTCAAATGAATATAAATTTAGCAAGTCTAAATGCAAATGACCTAATGTGGCATTTTGATCATCTCTTTGTCTAGGTCATTACCCCTCTTAATAGTACGGCAAAGCTATAAATAAACTAGCACAATTTTGATCGCCCAACTTCTCGATCAATTTAAAATTTAAAACACTAGTTTACCGTCTTCTTTCCTTTGCTTTGCACCATCAAATTTTAATCCTTTGGTAATCATCCATGCACACATATCACGTGGTCCTAACTCAAAATATATAACTCAATAGAACGGTTAGTCCACAATTAGCGCTTGTTATTAATTACCAAAATTAACCACGGGGGCCTAGATTCTTCATGACTAGGGGCCCTCCTCCGGCCTCTGCTCTAGACCGCCGCCGTCCTCCTCACCACCTTACGCCGGCTGCCGTCCTCCTCATCAGCCGCCACTGAGATGGGAACAGAGGCAAAGCAGGAAGAAAGAGAGAGGGGTGAAGAGATAGAGCTGAAGAGGTCTAACATGTGGGCCCACATTGAATCATTGCTTTTGACTTGGGTCAAATTGCCACATGGGACAAAACCACCCCACTATGTTGCCATGGGACCTATATTACACCGGTTTTGACGCTTGAAGGACTCGTTGTATCTGGTATTTCGGTTGAAGGATGAAAATTGAACTCGCTTTCAAGTTAAGGGACCTAAAATACACTTATTCCATTCAAAAATAGTATTGTACTCCCTCCGTCTCAAAATACAAGGGATCCTAGTCCATATTCATAGTATTAGTATGTGTCACATCCAACTCAAATCTCTTATATTTTGAGATGAAGAAAGTAATAGGTTACTGCTCCATTCGTCTACAATTAACTATTTGTGTTCTAAAATAAAGCTCATGTCCCTTATCTCGATCAATCACAATCATTCTTCTTTTAATTTTTTATCTACTTTCTATTATCAACTAATCACTACTTTCTAATTTTCACATATTTTTTTAATGTTTGTGCCTAACTTAAAAAATACTAACATTTTGTGACGGGAGATATGCGTATGTACTATTGTTGTTAATTTTTAACAAATTTTCAAAACTATTTAGATAGCATGTGAGTAAATAAATGGACATTCCTTGAGAGATTAAAATAGGTTCTCAAACAACGATTTTACCCTGTACATCAAAAAATATCTCGATTAGTCGCAAGAAAGCCACTGAAATGCATCGATAGAAGTTTTGAATTGCTCAATGTTGGATCCAAATGAGTCCAAGTTATTTACTTTCTTCTCTGTTAACCTGTATCGTTACGTTTGATTGGTGTAAATGTTTGGCGTGTCACATCGGGTATTATATAGGGTGTTGCATGGGGTGTTTGGGCATTAATAAAAAAAAGAGTAAATTACACCTTAGACCACTTTTTCTTGCCATTGTTGCAATTTGGACCGGGGAAAAACAAACATTTTCACTTTAAACCACACATCTTTACCAGTTGATTCAGTTTAGGCTAGTTATTGTTACCTTGTACCTCATGCTGACCAGCTCCCTCTTCTCGAATGTTCTCTCCCTCCAAGGCCCTCTCTTTGTATCTCTTCTCGTATCACCGAATCAAGCGAGCGGTGAGTCGGTGACCCCATCATGAATTGTGGCGCTGTGACCAACTCCTATTCGAGGGGTTGATGCCGTCGGGGTGAACAAAGTACTGTATCGCCCCCAATTTGTCCATGGTTTGACCCTCATATATAGGGGGATGATGCAGGATAAGCCTAGCCATGGTGAGAGCCATCTCGTGGCTGTTGCACAAATCGGACGCTATCGCGCATCACAATGATGGTTTCCTTGTAGAGGACATGCTCCAACAATATCACATCGGCTAGATTAAAACCTCCCTGGAGTTGCCGCGCTGAGAGCGTTTTGAGGCTGCGTGTTCGATTCCGCTGCTATCCACGTCGCTACGCGCCACCAGCCAGACGGCCTGCCCAAGCTCCAATTTCACGCTGCTCTCGGCCGTCGGATCGCGCGCGAAACGCTGTGATGTGCTGGTATGTTATGTTAGGCATTAGGCAGTGTCCCAACGATTGGTCGACACGTGAGCCTAGGCCCCTACAACTGCTGGTTGGTTGCTGCACCCTGTGTGGTTTGCATTAGTCCATGCCATGTGGGCCCTGTGTGTTTGGGTGCTGTGCAACGAGTGTATGCAGGGCTGTGGAGTAGGGTAGTGGCCTAAAATTTCAGCGTGTTGCGTGACGGTCTAGAAGAGTGTGCGTGCGTGGGCACGGTGCATGCGCTGCCGTAGGGTGCACGGCGTATGACGAGTGGGTCCACGCATCATCTATCTTCGTGAGCCAGGTGTGCAATTACTCGACGCCTAGAAATCCACGGGTGTATCAAAAGCAGTGAACGGGGGTGTACGCCACTGCCTCGTTACGTGCGGAGCATCCATGGACCAGTCCGTGGTTCTCTGCCGCTGACATGTGGGTCCAGTTATGGCTCTATGGGCTGCGCTAGATGCACCGTGACCATGCATCCGGTTCTTGCATTGAGACGTGGGTTCTGGACCGGGTGAAGAGGGAGATCGTGCACACAGCCAACCATGAGACAACACATTGGTACCCATGGCTGTTTGTACTGTGGAAGGCTTGTGGTGCGCTCGGCGTTGTGAGCTCGGTTCACAGCATTGGTTTCCATGACAGGTGGGCCATGTGCATGTGTCTTGAGGCGGCTATGCTGTAGACAAGGTTTATACAGCTAAAAGTGATGGATTTGTTGCTTTCGTGTGCTTTTAGCAGCCGTGGTGTGGGTGAGAAGGGAGCCAGAGCTCTTCTTAATTTGCCAGCTGCTTGTGTGTTCTCCTTGCCGATCCCTTGCGCTAGCCATCTTCCGCGAAAAATGGCCATCGTTTGGTGTGTGCTGACGCCTTTTGCTAAATGTTTCTTGCTACGATGTGTTCTTTGGAATGTGCTCATCTCTGTCTTCTCTACTCTGTAGGGGTTTTCGGTTTTGTTGTGTTGGTGTGGTTCTTGCTGCTTGATTTGTCCGCCTGAGTTAGCTGACAGGATCTTGCATGCTCTAGACCAGGTATGTCGCTGGATGTGATTCTTTTAGTTCACTTCGGTTGTTGTTACGATTCTTGATCTTATTCGGTTTTTGGTTGTATTGGATAGATTTTCTCTATTGGTTCCACATCCCGCAACCTCTTCTTTGCTCCTTGCTGTGCTGCTTCTGTCTTTGAAGGTGAGGTTTGTTGCTTCTGAGGTTCTACATTCGTAGCCTGCTTATAGCTTCTTGGTTTATTTCTTTGGTTTGTTTTGCAGCTCACATTTCTTCGAAGGGATTTCACGCTGTCGGCTAGGCTGCGCTACAAGGTAAAGACATTGTTTCTTTCTGTGCCTTACCAGTGCATTGCTTCCTTGCATTTGTGTTTGTCTCCGATGGTTTCTTGTGTGCATGTCTCCTGATGTGGTGCTGCTCTATGGACCCAGTTTGTTTCTTTGTCCTTGTGCATATTTGTTGGTTGTGCTACTATAGTATTATATATATATATATATATATATATATATATATATATTAAATGCACAGTATATGCTCCTTGCTGTGTTGGTGCGTGTGTGCCGGTAGAGCGAGAAGAGTGTTGGCTACAATCTTCCTTCTGGTCTTGGCCTACCACTTTCTCTCTTCTTAAAGCCTTCTAGCCGTTGTGCCTGCCTCATCCTTTTGTGTCGCTCTCCTCTCTTTGTGCTCCTCTTCTCTTTCTCTGAAACTTTCCCCTGCTTACTTTCCTTCTTTTCCCGTTGGTAGTATTGTAGGCAACATGTTCGCTATCGGAGTGTCACACGTATCTCTGCTAAATGCCGCTGCTCAGCACTGCATGCTACCTAGTCTTGCCTACTTGTGGGAGTTCAGCTTTGATGGTACGTTGTTGGCTGGAGTTGAGGTCAGCGTTCCATCAGTGTGCCACTCCGATGGTTTGGAAACTATGTTTTTCTGGGACATGGCCTCAGCTCCGCTTGGGACTGCACATGAACTGGTCGCTGAGCGAGCATTGAGGTACCTCCAGCATCGATATGGCTTTTTAGTGCACGATTACAATTTAAACTCAATGTTGGCTTACAGAAGAATTGCACAGACCGCTATACAGGTTGCTTTGTCAGCCTCAGGTTGTATTGCGCATTTTAGGTCCTCTTATGGCCCACTGGCGCCGTGTTGTGAGGATGTTCTTAGAACATGTAGCTCATTGTATTTTAGTTTCCATGTAGAAGACATGGAGCAAATGGGTTCTTTTCCAATGTAGGGGAACATGGGTTTCTGGGGTTCTGTGTGGTTTCTTGCCCCATTGTAATCCTATTTGTTGTTTCTTATTGTTGCTTTCTGTTGTGCTCATCCTACTTGGTAATAATGGAATGTTCTTTTTTGTACAAATTTTTGGTGGTTGTATAGGCATTTTGTGTGCATGTCCAAAAGATCTGCTGATAGAGTGTCCAGGGTCCGTGCAAGTCGTGAAAGGCGCAATGCACGTACCTTGGCCCCCCCCCCCCCCCCAACTTGCTTGCAAAATGAACTTCCCCTACCAGGTGGGACAAAGAGAACACGTTCCCTTATGGATTTTAAGCCCGCTTTGGCAGCTTTCAATAGGCAATGACGGCGTTTGCTTTTAGGAAGGAGTTCTTCCTTAGTTTCAGATGAGGACAGTGCACATGGTATATTAGCTTTCTCATGGGTTTATATAATTATGTGTAATGTTGATTGTTTTTCTGATAGTTTAGATTTGGTGCAGCTAGCAGTGGGTTTCATAGAGGTAGTTCTTCGCGGTCACACAAGGATCATGCTGAGGCTTTAAAGGGTTTGTACATGTTCAGTCCATATATAGTTGGCAGTTTTTTAAGATAAGCTTATGGTAGAAATATTTGGTTTTCTTTGTAGCATCATACCCTAGGAGGTCTTATTATGGTGCACCAACATACGAGTGCCCATACTGTGGTGCCGTGTTTTGGTACCAGGAGAGAGTTAAGGGCGCTTCTGCTATTTCAAAACGAAAGATAGTTTACAATCTGTGTTGCAAAAGTGGTAAAATACAGTTGCCCAAACTATGTAAACCCCCTGAGCCTCTTGCTACACTGCTAAAATTTAATGGCGATGCACGCTCAAAAAGATTCCTTAGGCAGATACGGTCCTACAACTCTATGTTTGCTTTTACTTCAATGGGTGCAGCTGTTGATAAATCAATTAACACTGGAAATTCACCTTATGTCTTCAAAATTAACGGTGTTGTTCATCACAGAATTGGTACACTTTTACCGTCACATGGAAAGCAACCTAAATTCGCACAACTCTATATCTTGACCCAGAAAATGAGACACAAAATCGAATGAACATATATGAAAATGATGGTAGTAACGCTGATCAAGCTGAGCCTGTTGTAGTTGATGCTCTCTGCACTATGCTAGATTGTCATAATACACTTGTGCAAAAATTTCGCTACGCTAGGGAGCGTCTTTCTGAGCATGGGAACCATAGTTTGACGTTGAGGCTTATGGGATGCAATGCCAAAAGTGATGTGCAGTACAATTTACCAAGTAGTGGCGAACTAGCTGCGATTATAGTGGGTGATTACTCAGCAGCTGAATACACTTTTGATATACTTGTGCATGAGAGCGATATTGGGCTGCGACGTGTCTTCCTTGCACCCATGTTATATGGCTTTGCAATATCCATTGTTTTTTCCTTATGGCGAGCGAGGATTCCATCTTGGTATCGAGTATGCTGACTATGATGGAATCGGTAGAAAATATGTTACTGAGCTTGAGTTCTATCGTTACATGATTCATTATAGGCTAAATGAACCTAATCCATTCACATACATTCAAAGTGTTGTCGATGTATTCTCAACTATTGAAAGCAGTAGGTTGAAATATATAGCTGATCATCAGTCAGACTTGCGATCTGAATGCGTACAAGGTATAGCTGATGCTATTGATAGAGGTATAACCAACGGTGATTCTGTAGGCAAGCGAGCTATCCTTCCTGCTAGCTTTACGGGAGGTAGAAGGTATATGGTCATGAACTATCAAGATGCAATGGCGTTATGTCGTGTTTATGGGTCTCCTGATTTATTTGTCACATTCACGTGCAACTCAAAGTGGCAAGAAATAGTTGAATCAATACGATTTGAAGATGGCCAGCTGCCATCTGATAGAGCTGACATGATTGTTAGGGTATTCAATATGAAAGTTCATGATTTTATTACTGACATCAGGGAGGGTAAGACATTTGGGCCTGTGCTTGCAGGTAATGATGCCTATTGCAATGTTTCTACAGTTAGTTGTGTAGTATAGTGTGATTACACCCTCCTAATTAAACTTGGTATTTTTTTTTGTCTTAGTTCTCTACACTGTTGAGTTCCAGAAATGTGGTTTGCCGCACATACACTGCTTAGTATGGCTTGCTGCTAGCAGTGCTCAAGTATCAGTAGCTGTTATAGATGGATTTATCTTAGCTGAGATACCAGACTTTGAAACCGATGAATTAGGTTATGAGTCGGTAAGCGAGTTCATGATGCATGGTCCCTGCGGTGAGCATAACAAACAATGTCCTTGCATGAAAAATGGCAAATGTTCAAAGCACTTTCCTAAAGATTTTCATGATGAAACATTTGTTGATGAATATGGTTTTACAATCTATAGGCGCAGAAATGATGGGCGATATATCACAAAAAATGGTGTGCGTCTAGATAACAGATCAGTTGTCCCATATAACATTGGTTTGCTTAAAACATACCAGGCACATATAAATGTTGAGTGGTGTAATAAATCCAACATGATTAAATATCGTTTTAAGTATGTGATGAAAGTCCATGATCGATCAAAAATATATTTTGAAACCACTGCTGCAAATGGTAATATGTCACCTAACCATGACCTTGCCCCTCTAGATGAGATACTAGAATACATGGATGCTAGGTTTTTATCCACCTGTGAGGCACTGCATAGAATTTATGAATTTGACATACATTATAGGGTTTCACCTGTTGAAAGGTTGGCTGTGCATTTGCCTGGTATGAACTATGTTCGATACGAGACAGGGTCAGACTTAAGAGCATTGCTTAATAGTCCTGCTGCGAAACGTACGATGCTGACTGAGTGGTTTGAAACAAATGCAAAGGATGAGGATGCACGTAGCCTAACATACTGTGATTTTCCAACAAAATGGACATGGGATTCCACATCGAGATCTTGGCACAAAAGAACACCAGCTCCTAAAATTGGTAGAATGTATTATGTTCATCCAGCTGCTGGTGAACTATACTACCTATGAATGTTGTTGATGATTGTTAAGGGTGCCACAAGCTATGCTGATATACGAACGTATAATGGTGTTACATATGAAACATATAGAGAGACGTTTGAGGCACGGGGAATACTTGAGGGAGATAATGAATGGCATCTTCTTTTCGATGAAGCAGTTCAGAGTGCGTCTTCACACTAGCTTAGGCAGTTGTTTGTTACTGTTGTGCTTTTTTGCTCTGTTGGTGATGTTCGTGCTTTCTTTGAAAAATATTGGTTGTCCATGACAGATGACATACAACATAGGTTAAAAAAGGCCCTTGATAATCCACGTTGTATTATTCCGCATGAACACTTGCTTACTCTATTGATACATGAACTTACTTATAACTTACCCCAACCAACTTTCTCTCCACAAGTGCCCTTTGGTAATAGGCTTATTGAAGAAGAACTTTCAGCTGATGCATTAATGATGTCGATGCATGCAGATTCCTTGGTTGCACAGATTAATACTGATCAAAAAACAATCTTTGACACCATTGTAGGCCGAGTTGTAGCAGAACAGCCAGGCTTTTTCTTTGTATGTGGTCATGGTGGTACTGGGAAAACATTTATGTGGAATGCTTTGATTGCGAAAATAAGATCTAGAAATAAAATAGTTCTTGCTGTAGCTTCGTCTGGTGTGGCTTCTCTACTGTTGCCAAAAGGAAGGACTGCTCATTCACGCTTCAAAATACCTATTGAAATTAATGAAACCAGTCTTTGCAATGTAAAGAGAGGAACGATGCTTGCTGAACTACTTGAAAACACTTTGCTCATCATCTGGGATGAAGCTCCAATGACACATAGGCGTTGCTTTGAAGCACTAGATCGCACACTGCGTGATATCCTTTCTGAAACATGCCCTTCAAATGGTGTTGTTCCCTTTGGCGGTAAAATTGTTGTGCTAGGTGGCGACTTTCGACAAATTCTACCGGTTGTGCCTAAAGGTTCACGGTCAACAATTATTGACGCATCTATTACAAATTCAAAACTATGGAAACATGTTGTTATGCTTAGGTTGAATGTAAACATGAGATTGCTTAACCCTTCACTTCCAAACACACAAAAAGAAGAGCTTAAGCAATTTAGCGAATGGGTTTTAGCCGTTGGTGATGGCACTTTGCCTAAAAAAAAAGATGGTGAGAGCTATCCCACATGGATCACAATACCTGATGATTTGCTGATTATGACAGATGGTGACAGATGGTGAGAGCTATCCCACATGGATCACAATACCTGATGATTTGCTGATTATGACAGATGGTGATAAAATAGATGCTATTGTTAGAGAAGTCTATCATGATTTCCTGTCATGTTACAGAGACCCTGAGTACCTAGCTTCCCGTGCGATTGTCTGTCCTAGCAATTCAATTGTTGATGAAATTAACAACTATGTTGTAGGTTTAATTCCAGGAGATGGAAAAGAATACCTCAGTTGTGATACAATCTCAAAGTGTTCTGAACAAATACCAGATTTTGACATGTTATATCCCACTGAACTCCTCAACTCAATTGATGCGAACAATTTTCCAACACATAGACTTGTACTTAAAGAAGGTGTTGCAGTCATGCTTCTTTGGAATCTAAACCAATCAATGGGCCTTTGCAACGGAACAAGGTTATTGGTAGTCGAGCTTGGAGAGTGTATCTTGAGATGTATCATACTAACTGGTTCTAACATTGGTGAAACCGTGTTTATCCCTAAAATTTCACTAACTACTACGAAAATGAAATGGCCATTTACATTGCAGAGAAGACAATTTCCTATTCGAATTTGCTATTCCATGACTATCAACAAAAGCCAAGGCCAAACACTGCAGAGAGTTGGTGTCTATCTAAAAAAACCTGTTTTTACCCATGGCCAGTTATATGTTGCCTTCTCAAGGACGACTTCTCGACCAGGCCTACGAATATTAATTGAGAATGACTATGGCTCATGTGGGATAGAAACAAAAAACGTAGTTTATCATGAGATTCTTGTTGCTACGTTACCAGCGGTACTGCAGCCTGCAGCTCTTACTGTGTACATGCTACTTTAGTGCTTATGATTGGTCTCTCACAACTAAACACTAATAAAATTTCAGGCTGTGCCGCCACTTCCCTGATACCTAAATAAATATGCATGCGCACGCAGTGCACCTTTTTGGGGTCTTTTTTGAGCATTCCGCTGGTTATTTGGACGCAGTGCACCGTGTGAAGAATGCAAACAGGAGCTACAAGCCAGTTGCCAATGAACTAATGATCACTTTCACTAGGTGGACAACTGTTGAGGAGTGCATTGAAGTTCCTATTGATTTCCCTACTGTGGTTTTCTCCCTGACACCTTTCGATGATGTTGCTAAGTTTGTGGACAATAATGATTTTTTTATTGGTGAGCCATGTTAGTCTTATATTTCTATTGGTCTTATATAATACTTTACTGATCAAGTGCTAAAATCTTCGTATTTATTCAGATGTTATGGGTGTCATTACTGACATATCTACACCCACAATGCTTCGTCCTAGATCAAGGGATGCTGACAGCTTGAAAAGAACTATTCAGATACGCGATGCAAAGTATTCTTTATGCCTCTTATTTTGTTCCTTGCTTATTTATTTATCCTGACCACTAACAACTAATAAAACTAGCACAAACACAGCCAATAGCCACTCTAATAAAATTTATTGATATTCTTAACATGTACACCACATTTTTCCTGTTTTTTTACACAAATAGCAATTCTACCTTGAATGTGTCTCTCTGGGCTGAACAAGCATCTGCGTTTGAGGCTGACGCTATACACAAGGCTGGTAAGAGTGAACCTCAGATTATTCTGTTTGTTGGAACTCTTGCGAAGAACTACCCAGGCATAGGTAACCAATAAAACTACAACATAACTCATATTTGTATCATGCATTCTAACCAATCAATTTAAAATTGAAGGATTGGCACTATCTGGAGGTTCTGCTTGCAAATGGTACATTAACATTGATGTACCTGCGATAGTTGAATTAAAGGACAAGTTAGTATAGATTATATTATTTCAATGTATAACTCCATATGTCTTCTACATGTTTCCTGATATCAATGTAATTTACAGGACTGGGACAAACTTCCAGCCAATCAATTGGATTGAGGCTCCAGCCAGAGCAGCTGTTGAGGAAGTCGCTGAGAACAAGACTGTGCGTGAACTTCTAGAGATCAATCCTCACAAGTGCAAGGTAAATGCTAATTGCGATAGATCAAAACAACATGTTTGTCTTATGCTATTTAGACCTGCTCTTACTCTGCTAATTGCTCCATTTGTTACAGAAGGTTCGATTTCAAGCTCATGTAACCGTTCGAAGGATCTGCAATGATAAGTGTTGGTGGTATGGTTCATGTCAAAGATGCTTCAAGGTTGCAAAACCTTATGGGTCCACCTATAAATGCACTAGCTGTTCCAACATCGCAGTGGCAGTACCAAGGTAAAAAAAACTGTTACCATTTATCTTGACATTGCAAGTGCTTTCCAGATCTTCTCATGCTTTTCTCTACGCGAACATAACTTGCAGGTACAGGATAGTAGTCATAGCTGGAGATGACTCTGATGATGCTATGTTTGTTCTCTTTGGATGAACAGCCCAGCGCATTGTGCGAAGGCCAGTTGAAGCTCTTATTGAGGAAGCACCAGCTGACAGTGATTTTATCCCTGATGAAATAACGGCTTTAGTTGGGAAGTCGTTTGTGTGGAATGTCAGCTTCACAGAAAATACGCTTAAGTTTGGGGATATCTCATTCCAGGTCAACAGCATTGTCTCCATTGATGCTCCTGGTGAACCTCTTATGTTGATGTCCCCAGGTGCTTCCCAGAGTTCTTCAGCCATGATTTCACCTGGACCAAGTGGCTCATTGATGTCACCATCAAGGGGAAGTGAACTTGGCATAGCTTCACCCGGTTCAACTGCAGCCAGCTCTCCACTGCCAAGGCGTGTTATTACCACGGACAAAAGCCAAGTTGTGCACACACCAACCAGCAAGTGCTCTGTCAGCATAGATCAGGATGACATTTCTGCTGCTTTTTCTCCACCAATGTCCCAGGTAGTGACTGATAAGTTATTATTTTGCTACTTCTATAGTCTCCTACACATTTATGGTCTTGCTTATTGATCATGATAGCAAACTAATAAAATTCTTTGCAGAAAGTGCAAGCTCCAGCTATTCCTGATGATGATACACTACTGGCTCATGCATCTGGCTCAAAGAGCAAGTCTAGGAAGAGGTAGATTGTTTTTTTTTTTTCATTTGACATGTGGTTCTTCATTTTTTTTTTAAAAAAAATTGCTTTCCTAAAACATGGTCTGATGTTAACAGAGGTCCTCCTTCTCAAGCACCACCAGCAGTTAAGAAACTATTCAAGGAAGGTGACAGCGATGAGAAAGAAACCACTGTTAGGTATATTCACTGGTTTAGCTTGGCTGCTATTTGTGCATACAGTATATAATTCATTCTTCTTGCAGCCTGTCAGCTGACGCTTGATCCAGTATACATGCATGCCCACTCAAGCATTTTGGCCACCAAGTTGTAGCATCTTCGTCTGCCTGAACCGAAGCGCATGGAAGAATGCTGTCTTTGCCATATGTCTGAACCTTTTGCTATAAACTGTTGATCTCCAGCTATTACTTCTTAGTGACTTTCGAAATTATTGTTCCCATCTCTTTTGGAACCATCTTTAGCAATGTTTGTAAGCTTATTATGGTTACATTAGCTATAGTCCAACCACGTGCTCAAAGTCCATTACAGTTGCCAATATGTCAGTACGGCAATGGACTTTGAACAGTTGGCATTGGCTTAGCTCCATGATACCTTCTCAGGTTTCGCTTAGTAATGTTAGACCAATCTTAAGACTCATCCATGTTTCTTGAGTCCATCTCCTCATTTCTTATTATGTCGCATGCATGGCATTGGCATTTTAATTTGTTGCGATAACTAGGTTGTAGCCCGTGCGTTTCCTGTCATCATAACTTCTCTGCTTTTTTATGTTGTTTGCCTGATGGTAGGGCGCGCAAAGCGCGCCTTATTACCTAGTATAAATTCACGGCGCGGTAGTTGAGCTCGAGCTATACCTCCACATGGTAATGGGGAATTTCTTTTGCCATTTTCTTCTTTATTTCTGTCAAGTGCAACCAGGGTGCGGAGGCCATTTCAAGCACATGGCGTTGAAGCTGGTGCCGGCGGAGCTCCCGTGCAAGCACGGCACTGGCGAGTGGCTCACTTTGTAGTGGTGGTTCTTCCTGCCCATGAGTGGAGAGAGAAAGAGAGGAGAGAGGGGGAGCTATAGAGGTAGAAGAAACAGTCCAAACTAAAACAACCAGTGAAGATAGGTAGTCTAAAGTGAACAAGTTTGTTCACCCCTAGTCCAAATTGCAACATTGGTAAAAAAGAGTGGCCCAAGATGTAATTTACTCAAAAAAATAATTACAGAATCTACTAATCTCAAGCTGGCCATTCTGCCAGCATTCTATTGCTTCAAATGGCACTGTAATTTAATTATACGTGGAGCAACGAGATAAAAGACATGCTGTGCACAGCGATCTGATGTACTGTCTCGCAACTCGCAAGTATATCTTTCTGGATCTCTCAAAAAAATGCTTCTAATCGCCCGTCCGGTGGGAAGCCAAATATCGGACGCATCGCTGCTGCTGCCGGGGCTCACACGCTGCCTGTTGTGCCGCCCACGTCTCTCTCACGCGCGCAGAGTCCTCATGCTGCCACGTATCCCCACCACATATTCCGTTGCAATAAATCACCTACATATTTTGGAAAACCCTCTTTTAAGGGAATCTGTTTTTTTTTCCACTAAAAATGTTACACCTAGTGTACTCACAATGTTTCACTATGTATAGATCTAATGTTGCAATGAATTGAAACATTCTTTTGCAACAAATCACCCATATATTATGGAAACCCTTTATTAAGGGAACTCGTTTCATTTTTTGTTCCACAAAAAATGTTTCACCTAGTGTATTGATAATATTTCACTATGTATGGATCAAATGTTATAGTGAATTAAAACATCCTTTCGCTATTCGCTGAAACATTATTTTCATATAAGGTGAAACAGTGTCTGATGAAATATTTTCGATCTAGTTAGTTAAACAATTCCGATATACTTGGTGCAACAGCGTGTAACATTTAAAAATAATTCAATAATAAGCTCAATTTTTTTCATTGGATTATATCCATGTGTGGTCTTGTTTTAAAGATTTAATTGCAATGGATTTAATAGTGCAATCAGATCATGATTTGGATAAATAATTTAAGAGAAAAAATAGTTTAAAGTTCGCTTAGATGCATACATGCAGGATGACATCATGATGACATGGGTGCCCGATTTTTCTAAAAAAAATGGGACTTCCGATTTGTAGCTCTCTCCGGATCTCTTGCATATGCGCACCCAGCCGCAGTGCATGCATGTGCATTAATAATTAGAATTTAACATTAATATCATTTAAAATCTAAGACAAGATACATCTCAAAAGAAAACCAATTATTTAAATATTAAATAATTAAATTAAATATATAAAAAGAGTAGCAAGTATTGAAAACAATTAAAAATGAAAAAAATGTGCTAATCCACAAATTTTACTTTTTTTAAGGTAAGTCAGTTGAAAAATGTTCCAATAAATATGATAAGTGACATTGTTTAAATTCAAAATAGGTAACTTAACCAAGTTGATATCCCATATCTTTAACTATTATAAAAATTCAACATGTTTTTATCAACAATTTCGTACGTCGCCCATACGATTCGCACGCGTATTTTCCTGTGTTGTCCGACTCTTGATCAAGGCGCACGAATTTTTGCTGTGAAAATCTCTTTTCTGTTTGATTCCCTTACTAGATAACATCCGTATTTTTCACACGTCAGGATATAGGCCTACGTAGCTTCCATTCAGGCCTAGGCCCACTAATCCAATTTGTTTGCACCAAAAACAGATACAAGCATGATCTACTGACGAGAACCCCTTTGAGCGGCTAAAAAACATCTTCGGGAAAAATTAACTCCTATTATATATATATCTATATACCTAATTTATATCTATACCTAATAAAAAAAATGTAATAACATCTCCCAGGCCGCGCCGTGCCTCGGCCCCTCCTCCTCCTTCGTCGGAAGCCGTCGGGCCGCCGTCCATGTCGCCTCCCCGAGGAGCCCGCTGCTGCCACCACTTGCTGCCGTGCCCTTTTGGCCGCCGCCCCTCGCCAGCGCCCCATGGTGAGGACCCCCTCCCTCTCCCATCCCTTCCGCTGCTCCGCGCGCTGCCACTCACCGCCGGTGTCGCCGCTGGTGGCCGTCCGGCTACACGCCGCCGCCGCCTAGTCGAGTTGGCCGGCGAGCCAACCCGCCCCTCTGCCACGCACCACTACCGTGGACTCGGTCTACAGTGGACCAAATCCTTTGACCCGCTGATGTGTGGGGCCCGCCCTTTGTGGACTTGGTCCGCGCCTCTCTCCTTGTTGCGGCAGCAAATGCCTTTTCCTTTGTAAAATTAATTAATAATTACGCAATAAATCAATAATAATTCTAGAAATTCATTTAAATGGCTCAAAACTTCTAAAATTCATATCTAATTCATACGAACTCCGAATTGAGCCATTCAACTTGCAAAATTCATCTAAAATTGAGATATACATGTTTGTTTACTTTTTATGTTATTTGTTTTTCTAGTCCGTTAGTAAACCGCGAGACAAATTTATTAAGCCTAATTAATCCGTCATTAGCAAATGTTTACTGCAGCACCATATTGTCAAATCATATAGCAATTATGCTTAAAAGATTCATCTCGCAAATTAGTCACAATTTGTGTAATTAGTTACTTTATACATGTGTTCAAACGTTCGATGTGAAAAGATGTAAAATTTTGGGGTGGGATAGCCTTACTAATACTACCACATGTGTTTCTCACTCTACTTTTCGGAGTTGCACTGCTCAGCCGCGCGGCGGCGCGGGTGTTGGGTGGACTTCGACGCGCGCACCTCGCTTGTCAACGTCACCATGGCTCCCCTCGAGCTGCCCAAACCGAGGACGCCGCTGCTCTCCGCCGCCGTGAACCTCTCGGCCGTGATAGAAGACGAAGCCTACGTCGGCTTCTCCTCGTCCACCGGCGTCGTCGCGAGCCGCGCGCCACTACGTGCTTGCCTGGAGCTTCAAGATGGACGGGCCAGCACCATCGCTAAACGTATCAAACCTGCCGGCGTTGCCTGTCACGATCGGCAGGGCTCCGTCCAACGTTCTGAAGATACTATTGCCGATAGCCTCGATCGGCTGTTCTCGTCATTCACCGGAGACGACGTAGGTATGCGGAGCTTAAAGAGGATTGGGAGGTTGCGTTTGGGCCACTGGTTCTCATACAAGGATATGTTCCGTGCCACCAATGGTTTCTCTTATGAGCGATTGCTTGGCTTTGGAGGATTTGGAAGGGTGTACAAGGTGAGTGCTTCTGGTATCCCGAGTGGAGATTGCCGTGAAGGTGTCCCTTGAATCCTCTCCCTACACCCATTACTGCCCCCTCAATGGTGAATCCTTCCACCTCACCTGCACCTGCGGCATACCCGCTGCCGACGACTTCAACCTCTCCTCCTTCTGCATCATTGACAAACCCAACATCAAACCCAATGACGCCTGCTATCAGCATGCCACCTCCTGCTCTCACCACAACTCCACCCACTGCCCCAGGTCTTTCCGGGCAGCAACTATGGTGTGTGGCCAAGGCTGACTCAGCAGATACTGCACTTAAGAATGCACTGGACTAAGCGTGCGGCATTGGAGGAGCAGATTGCTTAGCAATACAACCATCAGGCACTTGTTATTATCCAAATACCTTAGGTGCACATGCATCCTATCACTACCGGAGAAGTGATCTTTGCCTGGTGGAAAAAAACCACAATAGTCCCAGTTCCAAAAACTATCTTTAGCCCCGGTTAAAAATCTCACAACCATTATATGATCTTTAGTCCCGATTGGTAACAACAACCGGGACTAAAGATGGTTCATCCCCTGTCAGCCTGTCAGGGTGCTAATGATCTTTAGTCCCGATTGGTGCACCAACCGGGACTAAAGATCACTATTTTAATCCCGGTTGGTATTTCTAACCGGCACTAAAGATTAAGATGATCATTAGTCCCGGTTGGTATTACCAACCGGGATTAAAATTTAATGCGTAGTATATAATCACTCTCCCTTATTCTCTCAACCACACTTATCCTCTCAACCCACAGATCCGGCCCCTTCTCTTCTTCCTCCTCCCCTTCCTCCTCCCTCCCACAGATCCCCTCTCCTCCCCTCTTCCTCCCTTTCCATCCGGCGGGCAGGCGGCCGGCGGCCAGTGGGGCCACGCCCGGCGGCAGCGGCCGGCGGGGCCGCGCGCTGCAGCGGCGGGAAGGCGGCCGGCAGGCCCGCGCACGGCGGCGGGGCCACAGGCGGCGGGCGCCGGCGGGCATGGGGCCGGCGGCCGGTGGGGCAGCATCGGCGCCCTCTCCTCCTTTCTTTTTTTTTTCATATAATTTGTGATTCACTAAGATGTATAATTTGGTGATTCATTGCATTGATCTGATTTGTGATGTATTTGATTTGGAACACAACAGTCTTAATTTGTGATTCACTTGTGATGTATTTGATTTGTGTGTATAAATAACTTAAAGATTTGGGATGTGAATGATTTGGGATGTCACTTTTGATTTGGGGATTTAGGGTTTGATTTGGGAATATGCATCCCACTGGATTTGGGAGAAAATACAGGGATTAAAGAAAAAGAAAAGGGGACGAAGGACCGCCGCTATTCTCTCTTTAGTCCTAAAGATCTATTTTTAGTCCCGGTTATTTCAACCGGGACTAAAAATGGGTATCTTTAGTCCCAGATTC